AAATGAAGGGCCACACCCTATTTCAAGGGGAGATAATTATAAATACAAATACAAATACTTTATTGGCACAAACACAATTACAATAATTGGCAAAGGCCCACTGAACATCATTAAATGTTTACATATTTTTCGAAAATTGTCAAGTAATTGACTTCTAAGTTCAAAACAGTCTCTGATAAATTTAACAGTAACTTTCAAGACTTTTTGTATATTACTGTTTACATATAATTGTAACATATATTTCTCATTGCTAAAATTATTTTTCTTTGTTATGTTATAAATATTACTAAAGAATGTGTTTCTTAGCTTAGAGTAAGAATTACATTGAAAAAGAAAATGTATTTCATCCTCAATCACACCAGTATTACAAACGTTACAATATCTTTCATTTCTTGATGTGGAAATATATCTACCACTTTCTATTTCAAGTTTATGTGCACTTAGTCTAATTCTACTAAGAGAGGATCTCTCAGATCTTTTTTTGAGTAAATCAACATCAGGACTTCTTTTTCCTGAGTATACTTTCTTGAAGAAATCAAGTTTTTCTGAACCAAAGATTTTTGAGTTTGCTCCTGAGTGCACTGATCAATGATTCTTTGTTTAATGTTTGGTAAAATATGAAACTGTATATTTTGGAAACAAGATTATCTAGAATAGAAAATAATTTCTTAGTCCAAGAATTACAGTTACTTGTGGATTTAAAGTTTAAAGGCCAAAGAAAAGTTTTCATGATTCCCCTAGAGAGGGAAATTTTGGGTGGGTCACAATTGATGATCAGCATTGGATGTTTTATAAAGGATGTATAAATTTTAAGTGAAAATTTTCAATATTTGAAAATCTTTGGATGAGAGATCCACTCCCCATATTTCACTACAATAGAGAAGAACTGGAAGCAATAGCATCAAAGATGAAAGTTTACATGGGTTATCAAAATAGTTCTTTTCATTTTAAAACATGCTTTAGTGCCTTTTCAATAAGCACAGCTGTTCTAAATTTGTTCTATTACAATCATGATACCTAAATAACAGTATCTTGGCCACAATTGATGATCAAAGTTTTACATAGGAATATATGAGTTAAATATCATAACTTTAGAAAATCTACATTAACTTGAAGTTTCCAACTGGCAATAGCCAGAATATCAAGACTGGTTTGTAAACCGCTTTTGTGAATATTACAATATCATCAGCATATAACAGGCAATTTACATGAATATTGTTTACTTGCACAGGATCACATTTTCTATTTTTTAAGTCATGGACAATACCATCAATAAAAACATTAAAAAGTGTGGGGCTTAGACATCCCCTTGTTTGACACCACATTCAGAATTGAATACATCACTTAATCCACAGAAAATTTGACAATCAAAGAAAATAAAATATTACATTTTTTGGGAAAATATATAGGAAAAAATCTTCCATACAGTGAAATCTTCTAAGATCAATAAAAGCAGCACCTCGTTTTTGTAGATCATGAAAGGTAAATTTTGTGAAAACATTTTCACTTATCAGTGATGTAGTTTACAAATTCAAGTAGCCTAGTATGGATTATTTTTGAAAAGTTTTCCTAGATTTGAAGTAATTGATATCACTGGTTAGGGCCTATTACCCGACTTATGTACAGTAATACTAAATAGCTCTCATTCCAAGTTTTTGGGCCACAATAAGTATAAAGTTAAATAATTTTTCAAAGTTTTACACTTTTTAACATTTCATGAAATCATATCCATGGAAGAACTATTTTTTTTCAGGGAAAGGGCACTTCTTATTTCAGTGATAGTAATATCTGGTTCAAGGAAACAAAGCCATGAAAAATTAATGGTCATATCTTTATGAGCCAGGAAACATGAAACATATGGAAACATCCTCAGGTAGTGTAGATTAAAGTTTGTTCAAATCATGACACCCTGGGGTAGGGCGAGGCCCAATTGATGATCAAAGTTTTACATAGGAATAAGTAGGAAAAAATCTTTAAAAAAATCTTCTCAGAAACCACTTGGCCAGGAAATATGAAACTTATATGGAAACATCCTCAGTTAGTGAAGATTCAATTTTTACCCATAAAATTATGGGGTTGGGCGGGGCCACAATTTTTTTTATAAAGGAGTATATAGGAAAAGCCATGTTTAATCATATTGGTATGGAGGCCTCCTCAGGTAGTACAAAGTCATACTGGTTCAAATGAGGATCCCCAGGTGTAGGGCAGTGCCACAATTGATGATCAAAGGGTTACATAGGAATATATAGGAAAAAAAAAAAAATCTGCTTAACAAGAGGCCCAACTTTTGGGCCACATGTAGTGTCATTCTAGTTTGCATCATAAGGGGTAGGGTGGGGCCACAACTGACAATCAAAGATTTACATGGGAATATATGGCTTTTTCATTGTAAAGTTTAAATAGTGTAGGTTCCAAATCATTATGACCAATCATGGATTTGCAAAGTTTTACATAGGAATGAATAATGAAAATTTTTTAAAGAATTTTAAGAACCACAAAGCCATATATATATCTTTATGGAAAACATAGTGTTGATTCAAATTTGTTCAAGTCATGACCGGGGGAGAAGGTGCGTGAGTAGGGAGGGCCACAATAGGGGATCAAAGTTTTACCCTGAAGGGAAACCCCTGGGAAAAGCCATGTTTAATCATATTGGTATTTCAGGTAGTACAAAAATTTGAGGATCCCCAGGTGTAAGTGCCACACTATGTATAAATAGGAAAAAAAGTCATTTGCTTAACAAGAGGCCCATATACCTGAGCACTAAGGGTAGGAAAAATGAAAATGGCTTTTTATGGCTAAAGTTTAAATCCAAAAGTAGTCCCATGACCAATCATTTGCTATTTTTTAGAAAATGATTTTTTAAGAATTTTCCTATATATATCTTTAAAAACTTTGGTCGGCCATTTTGGCCCCGCCCTACCCCTGGGGGTCATGATTTGAACAAATTTTAATCTTCACTACTTGAACATGCTTCCATATAAATATGATGAATTATGGCTTTGTCATTTTGAGAAGAAAATGTTTAAAGAATTTTCCTATATATTTCTATGTAAAACTTTGGTAGGCCATTTTGGCCCCGCCCTACCCCGGGGGGTCATGATTTGAACAAACTTGAAACTACACTACCTAAGCATGCTTCCATATATATATGATGAATTATGGCTTTGTCATTCTTGAGAAGAAGATTTTTACAGAATTTTCCTATATATTTCTATGTAAAACTTTGGTCGGCCATTTTGGCGCCGCCCTACCCCCGGGGGTCATGATTTGAACAAACTTGAATCTACACTACCTGAACATGCTTCCATATAAATATGATGAATTATGGCTTTGTCATTCTTGAGAAGAAGATTTTTACAGAATTTTCCTATATATTTCTATGTAAAACTTTGGTCAGCCATTTTGGCCCCGGGGGTCATGATTTGAACAAACTTGAATCTACACTACCTGAGGATGTTTCCATATAAGTTTCATCTTTCTTGGCACAGTGGTTCTTGAGAAGAAGATTTTTAAAATATGCCACTAAATTTTCATTAATTCCCAATTATCTCCCCTTGAATAAGGGCGTGGCCCTTCATTTGAACAAACTTGAATCCCCTTCACCCAAGGATACTTTGTGACAAGTTTGGTTGAAATTGGCTCAGCGGTTCTTGAGAAGTCGAAAATGTGAAAAGTTTACAGAGAGACAGACAGACAGACAGACAGACGGACAGCTAGACGGACAGACGGACGCCGGACAAAATGTGATCAGAAAAGCTCTTGAGCCTTCGGCTCAGGTGAGCTAAAAACGGCAAAGTCATTTGTTATATTGATGTGGAAGCATTATAAGGTAGTTTAAAATTCAAGTCCCCCCATGTAAACTTCTCAATACTGAAGTGATTTTTGTTTATTTTTTCCTAGCCAATGTGCTCATGTGAGCGATGTGGCCCATGGGCCTCTTGTTTCTCTACAGTTGATCACTTTTCCTTTAAAGTTAATCATCATGATGAAACAAATTGAGCCTTTGTAGAAAAGAAATCAAAATATATAGCTCAGAGAGAGAGAGAGAGGTTTATAAATCCAGGTCAAACGATTAAGATTTTAAGTTTGATGTTTTCAAACGTGTTCCATGATTCAAGGTTTGATAGGGTTAAAAAGTTGAGGTCACAGGGCAACTGTCTGAAGCTAAAATAAATATTGTCCAGACCATGACAATGATTTTTGTAAAAGCAAATAAATAACTTATGACTTGAAGATATGTCTAACCTTCATAAATCATAAAAATGTAAACTAATAAACAGAAGTTAACATTCATTCAATACCTTTTATAAATACCTTTTTGTAGTGGATTCTAAGAACATGTCCGGTGATGGGAGAAGAAAAACATGTACGTCTTATACAGAAGTATGCATATCATAGGCGTCAGAAGCAAATTGAAAGGGGGGCCTAAACCAACAAAACAAAGGTAAACCCCAACTTTCAATGCCTATATTATGTATATATTTGCCAAAAAAAGGGGGGGGGTGCTAAGCAAGAAAACAAGCTATTATTGGCGCTGCTGATGAAAAGACATCAATACTGTATGTTATACACTATATTAAATTAAGCCTAATAACAAATGATCGATAGTTATATGTATACTTGTGCATCCAGATCAATGTTCTAATAGAAATAATATTAATAAAACGTTTTAATCTTTTAAAAATTTCGGGAGGGGGTGTCGAGATGAATCATTCATTATATAATCGGAAAGATATTAACTGCATTATAATGAATACTAATTTATTTGCGCTTTGATACTCTCTCAGCATCCTTGAGACTTTTAAAAACGGTCAATCAGCTGAGAATAACTAAGTTTTGGGAAATCATGATTACACACGCTGTACAACAATGCAACAACATTTGTTGACAATTTCCTGAAAACATTTTCATCATCATGATCTATTCGGGTATTACTCGAACGTGAGGATGACGAAAGGAAAACGTGGGATTTCGTCACTTCCCCGTGGGAACCTCTAGGAGGAATGTAAACAAGGTCGACCAAAGGACATGTAAAATACATTATTTAATACAGGACACTGTAAAGTTTCAACAATCTGTAAAAGAACATTACAAAATAGCTATTTTCTTTACGATTTTGAGAGAATGAGTGCTTTAGAGTGAGTTAATAAGGGTATTTCCTTGTGGAAGGGCATACTAAATATAGAATATCGTGACGAAATACCGCGTCTACGCTTGCGCTTAAGGGTTATTCAAGGGGGATTGCGTGCATTAAATTATATTTAAAGAAGAATGCGCTTGCATTTTTGTATATTCAAGAAAATATATCTCAGCAATTTTTAAAGTGGAAAGTGACATATTAATGTGATATGGGAAGTTTACGATTGATTTCTAAAATTTGTGAAAAGGGAACCTGGTCAATATGTAAACAGCTTCAGGATGTGGATAAAACTTCATTTCTGGTCAAAATCACTGGACTTCGCACAAACAATGGGGTAAGAACACTCTCTCTTTCATAAAATATGAACATTATAACAACTTCCTTAAAAAAAAACTTCATCTTTAAAAGCAATCTACAATTCAAAAATTAATTCATTTTAATTGATTTTTTAAATGAATCAAATATTAAATTGTAGATTAATCATTTTTTACAGTATACTCGAAGAAATTAAAGAGACTGGGTTAAAATATTATCTCAAACTATCTCACATGCAGACCAAATATAGAAAAATTTAAACATTTTTTTTTCAATAATCAAAAGGATGCATTTATTGCCAGATATATATATATGTACTGTACTTTAATTTTATCTCAATTATAGTTGCGTCAAATGACAACAAAAGCGGATATTGATGACAACATACAGAAATTTAAAACAGGAAACTTTGAAAAAATTCCGGACCCTGCCCACCTAGATCACTTCAGGTCAGTATTTAAAATCAGTATAATCGTATCAGTTACTATAGTGCGCAGTCTTTTTTTTTTTTCATCGGATTATCAATAGCACAGATTTGTTCCATTTCCAGCAGCAGAATTCTTGTATTAACGACGAAAAAATCGATATTTTATCAGTTATCAGGGACATTTTAATAAATCCTCTCAAAACTAGTCAAAATTCAGCGTTATCAAAATCAATGTTACTATGACCATTTTAAAGAGGGGGGGGGGGGTATGATCTTTTAATTAAATAATCTGTCTTTTAAAATGTTTGGAATTTAAGTTATTTTGTTTACATTTCAAAGGAAGTCAACAGAAGTTGCTGTACAGGAAATAAAGAATCCTCCCCCGATAGGCACACACACCCTCCCGCATCCTATATGGTAATTATTGGTTAAAAATAAGTTTCATCATGCTTTAAAAGCCGAAAAGTGTTTCATTTATATATAATTATATATGTATACGTGTCAAATTTTTAATATAGTTGTTGAATATTACAACAAATATTTGTAGAAAAAACTAGAAGTACATTTACAAGTATTTGTGGATTTTAATATTTTCATTTTTTTCGTCATTAGGACGGAAGATGAACTCCACAGTGTTAAAGTCACTCACAAACCACCTGAGGGGTTCGTGGACAAGGTAAGCAAAAGTGGTAGAGGAATCTCCAAGCATTAAATATTCACAAAAAGGCACTTTAGTCGGAAGAAGAGGCCCATGGGACAGACTGCTCACCTTCGTATCAGTACTGTCAAGTTTAAATATAAAATTTGGGTGAGGGTCAAAGAGTTATGTCGGCAATGTCTTCATTAAAATAGATATTGCTCAATAGTGGCACTAAAAAAAATCTCCTGCTCAAGAACTACTGGGCCTTAAGGGAAATATATTTCAAATAGTGTAAATTAAAACCTATAAAAATTATGTTACTCAGACGTGGGAGGGGCCACAATGGGGAATAAATGCTTTACAAAGGAATATATAAAGGGAAAAAAACTTAAAAAATTTTCTCATCAATAGCAAAGCTATCTATAGTCATATTGATATTAATTAAAGTATCCTCATGTGATTGTTCAAATGATGACCCCCCAGAGATAGGAATAGGCTACCGTGGGGGATAAAAATTTAACATACTAGGAATAAACTAGAGGTATTGTGAGCGATGAGCTCACTAAATGATACCCCTCGCCTCCCATATGGTTATAATGGCACAGCCCTTGTTTTGCTGTGGCCGGGAAACCCAAAATATGTGTCGGATCAAAAATTAAAATAGGAGGCGCACAATGGCAATATGTAATAAAAATTCTGTGAAAGTTTCATTAAATTTCACTCAGAGGTATAAGGAGTTGCGAATAAGAGATTGGTATCCCAAAGCGTAATAGACAGACGGACGGACGGACATACCGATTACTATACACCCTCCCGCTTGTCAAGCGGGGGTATAAATATCTGATAATCCAGAGCAGCAAAGACATTAGTATAATATTGACAAGGAAGCATCATGTGGTAATGTAAATTCAAGTCAACACCCCCACCCTCTTTGTTTATAGTGCCATTGTGACCTCCTATGTTACTTTTTGATCAGACATATATTTTGGGTTTTCCAAAGCAAAACATTGGCACAGCAATTTTTTTTATATCAAGGGGTACCTGTCTCTTATCCGCAACTTCTCCTATACAACTGAATAAAATTGAATGATACTTTCACAGATTCTTTATTACATAATGCCATTGTGACCTCCTATTTTACTTCTTGATCTGACACTTATTTCGGGTCTCCAAGAGCAAAACAGGGACTTTTTTATTATAATCACATGGGAGGCGTGGGTATCATTCAGTGAGCTCGTTGCTCACAGTATCTCTAGTTTTTTCTTATCTTGGGTGCTAAAAAGTAAAAACCAAGGTACACGCTGACAATAAACGTTAAAGTCGGCCTCAAAGACAAACCCTATCGAAATCAATGAATGATTAATGGAGATAAAAAACATTTTTCGTTACAGCTTGCATTTCGATCCGTAAAACTCCTGCGACACTCATTTGATGTTTTGACAGGATTTAATTGGGGCGAACGAACAGAGAAAAAATGGATTCTGTAAGATTTTTCACAATATTTGAAGATACATCATATTTTATTTGTGTTGATCTCTATGTTAATAAATAAAACATAAAGCTATATTTTTCCCCAGAACAATATTGCACAACGTTGGGATGGATTTGAAAGTGTTAATTATTTAAGTTTTATTGCAATATTAGATCAAGTATTTGAAAATAATTCTAGTACGTGTACGAGGGTTGTTCGAAAATTATTGAGACATTGTGTATATTTTGCTTTTTAATGAACGTCTTTCGGTGAAAATTTACATATATATTTTACATACATTAAGAATTAATAAAAGCAAAATATATTTTACAATATTTTCTGTACAATGGTATATAAATGCGTCATCAAGCAGTCTCGAAATAGATATGAAAAAATGTTTCTAACTCTTCGTGGACCCATAATAAGGGTGAAAATAATTTTGTTTATAGATATAATTTTTCAGCTTTAATTCAAATTCATGTTGTGAAACTTTGATAGAATTTTGATCAGGATGCAGAGATCATAAAAAATCAATTGCTGAAAAAATGAATTTTGACGTCAAGTGCGGAGCAGCGAACATTAAAATTACTCTTTTAAGCTAAAATTATTACAAGAAAAAAAATAATGTGTGTAATATTGCAATCAAATTACGACCATCAGTTATTACATACGGTATTAATATCGTTAACGCTACGGTATCATATCGTTGATCATAAATCGGCACTACATGATGTTAAGTCATCTTTACCCACAAATGGAAATACTACACTCGGATAGCAACAGCATACTTTTTAAAGGAATAGTTTAAGAAAAGAGACTGTTTGATTTTTGTACTGATATATGTAACAAAAAGTGTTATAAACGCTTTGTAACCAACGTATATATAGTGATTAGACATATGCAATTATTTGAAACTTTTTATTATCAAGGGTTTTGCAAAGTATAAAATTGAATTTTCCTGAAATTATCTCCGTCCTTTATATAAATGTATTGTCTTAGAAAGCCCTCGTATTTCTTAAAAGCTGAAATAACGCAAAAAATGTTATCGTTTGTAAAATATATATAATTAAAGAATTATGTTTATAAAGGGTTTTAAAGAATTGCAGTATATAAATAGTTTAGAAATGACCTAGACATATTATTTTATAAGAAAATAATATGTTTTCCACACAGACGTATATGTTTCTTGGAAACGGTAGCGGGAGTTCCAGGAATGGTAGCGGCCATGACGAGACACCTACACTCACTGCGCAGGCTCAAACGAGATCATGGTTGGATACATACTTTATTAGGTAAAAATCCGACAAACTGAAGTTAAATGAAGTGCACTAAATAATCATGAGTTTTGACAGATTCTAGAAAGGTGGCTAAAGGATATCCAGCAAATTATGAACAAAACTTTATTGAACTGATTTGAATTATTGAACACATAAGTACGCGAACTTAATAACAAAAAATAACCATTAATGTTAATAAGTTTTTGACTATTTATTTTGTAGAGGAAGCGGAGAATGAGAGAATGCATCTAATGACAGCATTGCAGCTTCGTCAGCCATCTTGGTTATTTAGGATGGGAGTGATAGCATCGCAAGGTAGTGTGTTCAAAGTATCATAAGCTATTACTGTAAACCAACTTTTATTCGTGTGCGAGGAATTTTCGAGAAGTTCGCGAGAGCCTCGACCCCGCGAATATTTCTCGCCGCGAACCGGTCCTTTAAGTCTCTGTGTCTATGAACAACAGACCCAAAAAGGCTTGGTCGCGAAAATGAATCGTCGCGAACTAGTTTAACCTTGATAAATCGCGAATTAAAGTCGTCACCAATAAAAAATGGTTTACAGTATTCGGCACTAGAAAACTAAATTATTCTTACAATTCCTGAATGCTTTATTGCCTCCAGAAGAATATGCTTTACATCGGAAGCCTTATACCGGTATATGAACGTGATATGACGAAGATTTTTTTTTAAAGATTATAATACTTATTAAGTTTTATGATTATCTTCATTTAAAAAAATCAAAATTATTTGGTAAAAAATCAAAAATAATATACATAATTTGAACGTTCAGGTTTTATATATTCAAAATAACATATATAAACAAATAGCAGTTAATTGGAGTAAAAGAATGTGTCGAGGATGAAACCAGTTTCACCTTATTTTATTATTAAGTAAAATCTCTCCTCAATATTTAACAGAATAGATATCCTGAATAAAATACCCATATCAAACACATTGAAAATCGTAGATACACTGTATACAACACCACAGATGAGAAACTAGGAAAAAAACCGTGTAGATCGATAGGGGATGCTCAGTCCTCCATGGCACCAGATCCAACCTCCAAGTCCGATGGTTTGGAGATCCATGTTTGCTCTAATCCGATTTGTATTGTTTATATACATGGACTTTGAGAATACTGTTCATTATCTCCGTATTTCATTGCAATTCATAACCACAATATGTGTATAACAAAATTAAATAAGTGTAAAAAATGTTATTATTAATTTTTTTAATGAAAAAGAATAAAACACCTTTATAATACTGAAAAATGCATTTTCAGCTGCATTCCTTTCGGCACGCCTAAAGTAAATAGGCAAGTCCAATAGGAAAACTTTGCTCTAAACGACGTTTTCCTGCTCTTATTGTAAGAAAACTGATATCAAAATAACAGGACATTTTGGAGCTATATCTCTTTAAAGTGAGTGATCTAGAAAAATCCCTGCGTATAAAAGAAATTGGAATTTAGAACAGAATGGTAAGGCCTAAAATTTAAACAGATTTTTCAAATAACAAGAGGCCCATGGGCCTTATAGGTCACCTGAGCATCATGCAACAACTTTACAACGATTGACTTTGGTTCATGTTTTAACACTGTTTAAACTAGACATCATTGCATTCACAATTTTGAAAGAGGCACCATTGCTATACACTTATCATGTTTAGTTTGGTTATTTAATACCCATAGACAGAGTAGGGGAACAAAAAAATGCATTTCGACTAATCAGTAATATTCAGCAATAATCAGTGTAGTGCCACCACCACACATGAACCCCTGACCCTTGGTCCACACATTTCAAAATTTTGGAAAAGGCACCCTAACTTGCTTATCAAAAATATTTGATTAATACAAAGGAGAAGATTTCAATCAATTAATTTATTTTCAGTATATAAGTAGAGCCCCCCCCCCCTTATGGTCCCCTTATCCAGGGGCGTTGAAATTCACAATTCAGGAAGAATGGTCCTTGCTCATCATAGCTATATAGGTAGTTCATCTGCTTAATACCCAGGAGCAGAAAAGAAGATTTTCGAACAATTTCTGCATTTTCTCTATATAACCAATAGAGCCCCGCCCTAACAACAGAACCCCTGACCCTGGGGTCATAAAATTCACAATAGCATTCTTCCTCATCATGACTATGTACTTAGTTAGTTTATTTAATACCCAGGAACAGAGAAAAAGATTTTTAAAGAAATAATGTATTTTCACTATATAATCAATAGAGTCCCACCCTAAGACCAGAACCCCTGACTCGGGGGCCATAAAAATTCACAATTTTGGAAGAGGCATTCATGTTCATCATAACTATGTACTTAGTTAGTTTGTTGAATACCCAGCAGCAGAGAAGAAGATTTTCAAACAAATTCTGCATTTTCTCTATATAATCAATAGAGCCTCGCCCTAACACCAGAACCCCTGATCCTGGGTCCATAAAATTCACAATTTTGCAAAAGGTATTCTTCCTCGTCATAACTATGTCCTTAGTTAGTTTATTTAATACCCAGGAGCAGAGAAGAAGATTTTTAAAGAAATAATGCATTTTCACTGTATAATCAATAGAGCTTCACCCTAGCACTAGAACCCCTAACCCTGGGGCCATGAATTTCACAATTTTGGTAGAGGACTCAATGGTCATTCCATTCATGCTAACAGTTTGACTGCTTGATGTCCAGGAGTAAAGAAGAAGATTTTTAAAGATTGCACTCATTTTAGTGGTTTTGGCCTCACCCCTCAGGCCCCAGGGGGCAGGAACCATGGAATTCACAATTTTGTTCCCCTTCACCAATAAATGCTTTGTGTAAAATTTGGTGGAAATTTGTTGAGTGGTTGCAGAGAAGAAGATGAAAATGTTCAAATGTTAACACACGACGCACGACGGACGAAAACAGATAGCAATAGGTCACCTGAGTTTACTCAGGTGACTTAAAAATTATTACACTGTATAATTTTTTTTGTGAAACTTTGACACAGGTGCCTTTGTGACCATGTTTAGCCTGGCTTACCTGATAAGTCCCCGGTTCTGCCATCGATTTGTTGGTTACCTGGAAGAAGAGGCTGTCTTCACCTACTCCAAGTGTCTAAAGGTAAGGGGTATCTGTCTACACCTACTCCAAGTGTCTAAAGGTAAGGGGTATCTGTCTACACCTACTCCAAGTGTCTAAAGGTAAGGGGTATCTGTCTACACCTACTCCAAGTGTCTAAAGGTAAGGGTCAAATGTTTGTCTTCACCTACTCCAAGTGTCTAAAGGTAAGGGTCAAATGTTTGTCTTCACCTACTCCAAGTGTCTAAAGGTAAGGGTCAAATGTTTGTCTACACCTACTCCAAGTGTCTAAAGGTAAGGGTCAAATGTTTGTCTACACCTACTCCAAGTGTCTAAAGGTAAGGGTCAAATGTTTGTCTACACCTACTCCAAGTGTCTAAAGGTAAGGGTCAAATGTTTGTCTACACCTACTCCAAGTGTCTAAAGGTAAGGGTCAAATGTTTGTCTACACCTTATCTAGGGGTCTAAAGGTAATTAAGGCTCATGTGTTTGTCTAGACCTACTTCGAGTGTCTAAAGTTAAGGCTCATTTTTCTGTCTAGACCTACTCAAAGTCTCTAAATGTAAGGCTCCTATCTGTCTAACATACTGCAAGTGTCTAAAGTAAGGCTCATGTTTGTCTACACCTACTCCAAGTGTCTAAAGTTTAGGCTCATTTTTCTGTCTAGACCTGCTCTAAGTGTCTTAGGTAAGGGATATCTGTCAGTGTATACACCTTCTAAAATTGTCTACGAGAGAGACAACGGTAGGAATGACCTGAAAATCTAAAAGGGTCTAAAGGTTGTAGTGTTATCAAATTATCCCATCTGTCTGTATACACCAACTTAAAGTTTTTAATGTAGGATTCATCTAAATTGCCTAGGTTGTTACAGAAAACCTTATTTTTTATTTCTTGCAAATAGGACATAGAGTCTGGACCTCTGAAAAAATGGAAAACACAGAAAGCGCCGGATGTAGCCATTCGTTATTGGAAACTACCTGTAAGTAAAACGCTTCACTGAAGGTATTAAAATATGTTCAATAAAAATAAATTAATTAATTTTAAAATTTACTAACTTTATACTTATCTCTTAAGTTTTTATAATTCATAATACCACTTCATTATATTAAAACTTGCAAGATCCATACTTCTAACATTTTAAAAATATACTTATGTACATCTCAAAATATCAAATCTAATGGAGTTTCTAATAATCTTTACTTGATTATATTAAATAAAATATACTAGAATGTTTCTAATAGCTTAAAATAATTGAAATATACCAGATTTATATATTTTTATCACTTCAGACTATTAAAGAAAGTAAAATATTCAATTTATTCATCTTAGTTAAATAAAATGTTCTAGATTTATTCTGATACTATAATTGTAATAAATTGTGCTACTAATTATTCATTTTAAACAGTTCAGACATTAAGAATATACAGGATTTATTCCAATAACTTGCGTTTATTAAAATATACCGGATTCGTACTTTATAGATATTTGCCATATTCATACTTAAATTATCAGTTTTATTCTAACATATTAAAATACACTGCATTCCAGATGAATAATTATATCTTACATGTAATAACTTTGATATTGATAATTTATACCAGATTCATAAAAATCAGTTATTCATTCTTATCAATTACGTATATTTTAAGTATTTCAGAATCATACAAACCACTTACGTGTTCAGCTAATTTCACATTGCACACTTAGGGCATCCTATTATTCATTTTAAACTTTTTTTTGTATCCTTTTAAATTGTTGTATAATCGAAAAGGCTAGGTGTATTTTTAATAACACTTTATACATGAAACATTTTAACAGGTCCGTGGTACAATGAAGGATGTTATTTTTAACATTCGGGCGGATGAAGCAAATCATAGGAAAGTGAACCATGTACTCGCCTCACTCAAGACTGATCAATATAACCCCTTTCTACCTGGACAATGAAAATGACCCTTAATGTGCCTCATCTATGTTTTTCAGGTAACTGCATCCATGAAGGATGTAGTGCTGGCAATTCGAGCAGATGAGGCTCACCATAGGGTCGTTAATCACACACTAGCTTCCTTGAAAGAAGACGACTACAATCCGTATGGGCCAGGAAAATAATTCAACAAGCAAGCTAAAAATGGGATCAATCCTAGGTGATATTTATGTTTCAAAGTCGACAGTTCAGATATAAAAATGGCATCTATACTCATGGTGATACACATAGTCCCCTAAAGTACTTTGAGGAATAAGATAATTAATGGTGACTAAATACATGAACTGTATATTTGTGTGTACATAAGTCTGCAGTATCTGTATTGTGGAAAATCGAGTGCAATTGTTAGAGTGCTAGTTTGTCTTAATCGCTAAAGCATGACTTTGGATTAAATATGTTATATAAAATAATATAGTACTAATGTAGTACAAGAGGCACCGAATCTTTATTTCTGAAGATTATTGAATTTTTCTTATGTAACACACATTATCACAAGTATCAAAGGTTTACTATCGTGCCTTGTGTTTGTTGACAGCTGGAGAAACAGATCTTGTATTTGTATTTAATAAATATTGCCTGTGTGAATAAAGATTATTGAGAAAATTGATTTTTGGAATAATCATTATGAAAGCTTAGGTACACGTGAACATTATTTCTGTTACCAGTTCTTCACACTTCTTTAATAGATAAGCCATTTCTCACTGCGTGAGATATGTTTGAAATATATATTAGAAACTCTCAGAAACATATCTATATATATACATATATATATGTTATTTTTGTTTTGTCAAAGTATTAATCTTGTTAAGATGTGTTTTTCTTATGATATGTTTATAAAATATAAGGTCTGCCAAGTATCATTTTGTTGTTTTATTATATATCTGGATTTAATATTTCTCTCAATAGAAGACCTGAAAAATGAAAGGGATGAATGTATGACAGTTTTTCTTCATATTTACTTTAAGATGAAAAACAATTACAAGCTTCCCTCCCTACAGGGGTCTTATCGATTTATTTTGCTTTCAATTTTTTGAAAAAATGAATTCTTCATGCAGATCATTAAATCTTTATGGTTTAGTATTTTGCTCCTTGATAATTACTTTTATTTTATTTCATATTTTATAGTTTTGCATGTGTTTTTATTAAGTTGTTTAGTTGCTGTTATAAAGTATTGCAGAATTTAAACTATTATAATAACATTTTCATTTTTTACCACTTTTACAATTAAAAATTTTGATTTTTTTAAATATATATTTTTATCTTTTATATTTTGCTTTCTAAAAACATGTATTAAATAGTTGTTTCCCAAAATGATATTTGATGTTATTATATTAACTGACTCTTCAATGTTATAACATGTTATTATAAATGTTGTACACATGTAAAGATTTATGAAAATGTTTGACTTCCTGTCGTTTGCTGATAACAAGATAGTAATGAATACCTGATCATCATTTCCAGCTTCTATCAAAGCAAAGGAAAAAGAACATTTTGAGAACTTTTTGTGCAATTGATCACTGTTTTGGAAAAGCTAAATTAAATGATGACGAAATTGAACAAAAAGTGAAAAATACCAATAGTGATCGAATGAAGTAAACAATATAAATAGCAAACAAGGCAAAACACAACCCCCTTGGAAACGCCAATGATGAGAGCAGGTGCCTAGGAAGACTAAAAATCCCCAGTTGACCTGTCACACCCACCTTGGATCCTCTGTATTGTAAAGGTAAAATGAGTAATCTTTAGTTATAATGGTATTTAAAAATGGTCTTATGTCTGTAAAATTACAAACCGACAAATGACTATGTTTGCAAAAAGGTTAATCATAATGGTCATACGTAGACTATTTGTCAATAACCTGCATTGGTCTTATAAGACTGACAAACAACAAGCTCTTGTGTACCAAATTTCTAGGTCCTGATATTGAAACACCATATGCTGGTGGTAAAAGAATATGGGAAGTTGGCGAAGGGAATGCTAAAGTCATCCCTTTTAAAATACAGTTTTTTGGTCATTTGACCATTGTCTTCTAGATCTATAGTCAGCAAAACAAAGTATGAAACTGATGTGACATACACCGGTGTCTCATGAATTCGAGCTTATTGTTTTTTTTTTTTCAACTTTATAATATGTAATAAAGAAGAAAGTTCACATTGGTTCATTTTTGGCACTGTGAATTTCTGATAAATAAGAACTACTCAGTTTTTGTTAAAAATATGTTATATTTCACTTGGACCCTTGGTGACTTCATATCAAATAAAAATGACGTAATTTTTTCTCTTGTCTATGTATTATGACGTCATGAATTTCGTCATTTTCCTCAAATCTTGTAAATTTCGTTAAAAATGCCCCTAAATTGAAGCTGATTTTTAATATTTTGCATAGCCCCCATCCTCTGATCTAAAATATTGAATTATAAAATGAAAGAACTGTTTCAGAAGATTCTAATCCATGAAAGAATTTTTGAATCGCAGGGTGGGCTCATATTTTTATCAAAAGTTGAAGATTCTCAATTTCACCCATTTTCTTCAAAAATCAAGAATATCGCAGTTTCACAACGCTTGAGTTTCCAAACTTGGACTCTCAGAGGAATGTTTTTTATAGGAAATGAAAGCACTAAGTCTCTACTTTATGTTGATGATCGAAATAGGACTTAAGGAATTGGTTGTTTAATTAGTATATTGACAGGGCCGTTTTATGGAGTACGTGAATCTACCTCTTTACTAAAAGGTGTCGCCATATCGGAAGTTGAAATAAAAACCAAGACAATAGTTTTTTTCTTACGTAGAATAGATTCTGTTTAATAAGGAGGAAATTTTGATAAAGACAAAAGAAAGTGTCTCGATTAATCGCATACTCATAAAATTCTGAAATGTATCTTTGTTATTTTTTATAAATAAAAACTTGAAACTCATTATGGCACGATGATTCAAATTAACTCTTATCTGCTGAGAAACTTCTCCAGTTCATTCATCTGTATACCATGTCAAATACAAGTAATACAATACCACAATTTGTCACACAGAGGTCTATATTTTTTGTTGATCGTTGAATTCCAGTCCCTATCAGTTTCAATAACACGTGAATACTGTTTCCCGGTTTGATTGGGGAGGAGGTAATATTTCGTTTTAAGAATGGCGCCTAAATAATAGAATATATCTTATGAAAAAAACTTTTTTTTCACGTTTGCATTTATATTTATACTTGAATATTTCATAATGTCAATATTTATACTGGAATAATTTAATTTTACTTGTAACACGCCATTTGATTGGATAAAAGATTTTATCCATTTTGTATAACATAACTTGCCTACGTCACAATGAGTTACGTCAAAAAACGTATTACTCCGCTTGACGTTACTTTAAAAAATTTAATCAATGTGAAGCCTTATTCTGAGAGAAAAATTGTCTCATTGTCTTCACTGAAATTAAATTATAAGAAATGAAGCTTATTTCAACTTATATTATACGATATAACAAAACTTGGAGCAGTTTACGCTTTCTTATAAACCGCTTCGCGGTTTATAAAGCGTAAACTGCCCCAAGTTATGTTATTTCGTATAATATAAGTTGAAATAAGCTTCATTCCTTAAATATTTCATAATGTCAATATTTATACTGGAATATTTCATAATGTCAATATTTATACTGGAATATTTCATAATGTCAATATTTATACTTGTATGTTTCATAATTAAAGTAAACTAAATGTTGAGTCTTGCTTTTATATAACGAACAATACATATTAATTTTTCAGCCCTTGAACAAATATTTTTTATCCACCCATTTAGAAAAGCGTTCTAATTTAGAAATGCACATGTACATGTAGGTTCTCTGAAAGCTTGAACTTTTAATTAACTAATAAATTTTTATTGAAATATATGTCGATACCCTTTGCTAACGTCAAAGTAAAGAGAAAAAACCTGGTGTTTGTTCTTTGTTCTTTAAATTGTGACCTCAAACAAAAATCTAATGATTTAGAATATATATGTAGCCAAATGTTTGTTAAAGAACGTCGAACTCTTAATTTATATAAGCTCTGACTGATCGATGAATCTCAATTGGAAGTAAATTAACAGCAATCATTAAATAAAAAAGAGTAATGGAGGAGAAAAACTAACAACATGTTTACATTTAATTTCATAATGAACACCTATCGTTTTTAAGGCAAGGTTCATACCTTTAATTAAATAATTGCTAGTTCAGCCAAAACACCGACGACAAAGAGCAGCTTAATTATTTAGTTTTTCCATTAGCATCAGATTAATGTCCCAATATGGATGTTAAATGTGCAATATGCCTGCTGTGTCTCCTGCATCTGAATTTGGGGGTTGATGAAGTCATCGTCACTTCTAGCGGGCGTCGCTGGCCCTGGGACATAGCACAGACCCTGACCATCAGGGGCCGGAAACAGTGTACCCGGGAGTGTCAGATCAGGGGGTCGGCATGCCTCGCCGTGAACTATAAAACAAGAAGCCTGCTTTGTGAAATTCTGGGAAGTATTCCTAACAATTTAACAGAACTGACCACTGACGTCACTTACGATTACATTGCAATGTCCTCTCAAACATCGGTAAGAGTTATATCCTTAACACAGGCAGAATATATGTAGAAAAAAGTTAGTATTATCGAAGACATTCAAACGCAATTTATACTTTTTGTTATTTTATCTCTTTTTATACACATATATATTTTTATTTGTTTAAAAGGACTATAACATGAGTAAAGCATTATTGCTGAATTTGATTAAAATAGAAACTTTTTTTTAATTATAAAGATATACTCTAAAACAGCTTTTATTCGCGTCATCTTATTTTCGCGATTCGTCTGTTTTACGAAAATCTATGACGAATAATTTTCGCGACTGAGGAATTATTCAAAGCAAAACAAGTGTTTTGCGTTGATGAGTATTCGCGAATCGATCAAAATAGGGCGCGAAACTCTTGAATATTCCTCGCACGCCAATTAAGGCTGGTTTTCAGCATACACATTTATGAATTTTGCAAGCAAAACATGGCTAAACAAGTGCCAGAAATTTTTATCATCATACACTTCTATGCACAAAAAATACGCATCTGACTCTGAGTTACATTGAAAATTATTTGCAGAAGATTATTTTGAGAAAATTTATTAAAATTGGGTTTTATTTTCGAAAATATGACCCTATATTGTTATTTCACTCTACCCATTGGGGCCATGCTTTTTACAAACATATCAGCTCTGCGTGAAGATGCTTGGATATTTATTTGATCAGGCTTACTCCAAAAGTCTTGGCGTATGCTTCTTTAGATTGTTTTTATTCCTTATGTTCTTGTGAAGATTTCTAAATTTTTCTTCTATATAATCATGTCTAACCAATCCCTCATTGTATAACCAAATTTGGCCCCTTATTTGATGTAAAAATTAAAACACGCGTACAATTTAATTTAGTATAGTATGCAGTTAAGTAATAAAATGTTGATTGATTTAAAACCAGTAATAAAGATTTGATTCAGAGAGAACAGAAAGCCCATAAGAGGGTTTAAATTCGGTCATTTTTACCTGTTTTTCCCAATTCTGGTGGAATTTCATAAGATGTGATGTACTTTTCACTTCTTGAAATACATATATACTAGTCAAAATTTCGAAGTCCCCAGGCAAGTTTTTGCTTTACACCGCTCTTATAATAAATTATTTTAACAGTATAATTTAATAAGTATACAGGATAAAAAAGTAGCAAAACAATTTTTCGCACTTAATTTGTTTCATTGAAGCACTTAAACACAATATACAGAAACGTTAAGGCACCCTAGAATTAAAAATTCACATCGTTAAATACTGCATTATCCTCCATTCAAACGAATTCACAGCAAGACAACCGTTCCTCAAAGAGTTCACACTATTTAAGAAAAGTTCTTATATTGAATGTTTTTCCATGTGGAGACTAGGTCGTCCTTGAAAGTTCCGCTAGATTCTGCCGCTGGAAAAGCTGTTTTACACTCCGGTCTATCTTCTACCATACATGGAAGTTAGGGTTGAGATTAGGATGACAAGGGGGCTTACCGAAAGTACCTGTGCCTTACTGACAATAGTTACATAATGTCTCTTTACATGTATTCCCCACTCCTCAAGTTTGACATTGAGGGGAGGGCACTTCCGGTTCCGGTTCCATCTATTTTTCCGGATAAACTCTAGGATGATTTTGTTGTGTTTGTTGAAAATCTAGCGATTTCTAATGATTAAAAGGAATTCAGGTATGCTTTGTAGGTTTTTTGGGCGGTAATTATAAAGGTTTTAATTAAAATAAAGACATACAGTGAACTCGTTAACTACGACCAGCTTGAGCCATTTCAACTTCACTTTCACATTGTTGTGTGGACATACAACGCATTTTAATCAAACTTTTTTTTCTTCTGTTTTTCCGTATCAATTAAAGATGGAGAATACATGTAAGTAAAAATTATGAAGAATACACCCGAAAAACACATGGAACTCGAACTTCATGCTTTTTAACAAAATCGGTCACAGTCGAGTAATTACGCATTCTATTACAATTTTTTTGGCCTTGACAGGTAAATATTGCAAATTAAAGGCAAAATTATAAGCAACTAGTACATTGATATTAAGGTTTTGAACTTTTAGAAAAAATAAAAGTGGGGACTTAGAAATTTTGACAAGTATAGATCACAAGCTTGCCCATCTAAGATTTTTATTTAGAAGAAGTATCTGATAACAGTGCATGAAATGTAAATATTTGTTAGATAAACAAACTTGTGCTCTGTTTCATTTTTAAAGAACAAAATGATCTATAAATAAGATGAAAACTTGCATAAAAATGAATCATTCGGAGAATGAAATATTTTTTTTACATTTGTGTACCCCATTAACTTGAATCAATGCTCACTTTGTAAGAGGGTGGCAAATAGGTTCGTAATTATTTTGCCCATTAGATCTCAAAAAGATTTTTTTGAAGATACATGTATCCCCAAAATATATCAAGTTCTTTATATTTTCTTTTCAAAAAGGGGTTGGTCCTCAATAAATTAAATACCCCTTTCCCAATAAAGATTGGTTGATATCGGTCCAATGGTTCCGAAGAAGAAGCAGAAAATGTAAAAAAAAAAAAAAAAAAAAAAGGTTACGAGGGGCGTTCAATAAATACTGTCATTGGGGCTCGGAAAGAAACAAAAAACGCTTTTCTATGATTTAGTCTGAATGATTTATCTAAAATATTCTCTTTCAATTAAAACACATGTCTGTAACATTTTTATTCAATTTCTAATTGTTTTTAGAACACATTTTTTAGTATGACCCTTCGTATACTGGAATGTGGCAGATCCTATGATTTGCTGTACTTGTTTTTTTCTTTCTCATAGATGTTTATCTAAGTTTGGGAGATGAAATAAGTCAAAGGTTGAAAGATCTGGCAGATTTTTATGTGTGACAAAACATTAACTTTCTGTTTATACCCAAAACTCCTTTACTCTTCATTGCATGTGGGTTTGGACGCTGTCATGAAGAAATTTAATGTAGTGAATTGCTCATTCTGTTTCCTTCCTCTCATAAGCCTTTCATTTTTTTCTGCAAAAAATTTGTTTTCTAGACTCCTCCAGAAATTGAACTTCCTCACCGAATATGAATTTGAACAATGATTTAGGACCGCTAATATTTAAGAAAATAGAATATAAAAATGTTTTTGTGCTCTTGTAATTCAATGCTCTTTTTAGGCCTTTGTAGTTTTGTCAAGTGCATCTTATTGTAAATTTGTTGTGAGGGTTTAAAGCAAAATGGATTCAAGTTTCATTATATGTTTTAATTTCAGTACAATTTTTGATTTAAAAAAAATAATTGTTCAGATATTCCTACACGCTGTCGTTTTCACTCATTTTTCAAAATATAGGGTGGCCTTTGAGTAATAATCTTTTTAACTATCAAATGTTTCTTTGAAACAGTGTGAACTACCCCCAAAATGATTTCTATCAATTTTGCTATTTGTCTTAAAGTCAATAAAACATAATCAGTGATAATTTGTTGAATTTTCGCAAATATACATTGGTTGTAACGTAAGTCGTTGTTGCCAAGGACGGTGCCCATTTTTGATGCCCATTATATAATTTTTGTTTATTGAAATCCACCTGTTTTTGCCAAGGATACTACCCATTTTTGATGCCCATTATATAATTTTTGTTTATAGAAATCCACCTGTTCATGTGTCTATAAAACAGACATTGAATGCTGTAAATTTAACATATTTCAGTTATTATATTTTTGGGATATTAACAAGTTTTACAGCTGCTTTAATGAAGCGTTTAATTTTACTCTAGTTTACTGATTCTTGACCATTTATTTTTAATGCAGTGTCTCGAATAGCCCTTGTTTTCCAGCTTCCTACAATGAAATAATGCGATGAAAAGTGGTCACATAAACTGTTATCAATTCATTAAAGATTCAATAATAAGAGAACGCCAAGCTTAATGTCATATGATTTCTATGTTGTATGTCATCGAGCTAATGACATTATTTATTGAATGTCCCTCGTATTTTCTACAGACAGAAATGTTATTAATTCAATTTTATTTATTTTATATATCAGGTTTTTTCAGCCGCAGTGTGTGACAGTGAATGTTCATCAACTGCAGGACACTGTTTACAGCTATCATCTGGGATAAACTACTGCAGAAAAAGTAAGCCATACATTGTAGCTTTACAGTATTATATTATATCATTTCTGGTAAACCACTGCCAAAAAAGTAAGCGATAGTTTTACAGTAATAATATATGTCATCTGGGATAAACTACTGCAGAAAAAGTAAGTGATAGCTTAACAGTACTATATATCATCTCTGGTAAACCACTGCAAAAAAGTAAGCGATAGTTTTACAGTAATATATATCATCTTGGAAAAATTATTGCAGAAAAAGTAAGCATTGACTTAACAATTATAATCTCTGGGGGTAATTTATGGACTTCAGAATAAAAGTACGCAATGTGATCTGGGGTTAGAGGAAAAAAAAATAATAATGTGTATTAAAGTGCAAAATTTGTAGTGTAATGGGTAATATTTTCTTTGCAGATTTATTCATTTCAATCAATAAGTCATTTCATATCATAATCCATACATTTAGTAAAATATATGTTTAATGTTCAATAACAGAGAATCCGAAATGTCCGACAAACTACCGATTCTCAGCTGCCCTGAATTTTTGCTATCTCGCCGTCACCACACCAGCAGACTTTCTTACCGCCAAAGCACACTGTGAAAGCTTACATTCAAGGTTGGCGGTTCTTCCAACAATGGGATATGTTGACTATATTAAAGCAGGTATGATTGTTAAAATAATTATTTAATCTTAATTACATGTTGAAGACCCTTATTTTTTATAGGTTTGTGTAATGCAACTACATGACACTGTTGTCTAAAATTTAATATCATTGAACTAATTTACCTTTGCTTGATCATGACAAGGAGCATACGGCGGGTGTGACCGGTTGACAAGGGTTTTTAATCCTTCATGACCCCTGATCCCAATAGGGAGAGGACATAAAAGAGTGTTCAATACCCAGTTCCTTTATAGATTGATTGTATATTGTTTAACGTCCCTCTAGAGAATTTTTCACTCAATCATATGGCGACGCCACCACTTGCCTGTGGAGAGCTGCAAATTTTGTCCTATATTCGGCATTAGGGTAATTGAGGAAGGAGGGATCTTTATAAAAATGAATAACAAAAAAATATGTCCAACCAACCTGATCTGAACTATATGAAATGTTTAGAAGTCTTGATTACTGTTCACTTTCTTCATATTTCATGAAACATGTGGAGATAACAAACAGTATTCATGCTCAAAAGTCAATGAAACAATACAAATTAGGAGCAGAGCAAACACGGACCTCCAAAACATCAGAGATGGGATCAGGTGCCATGGAGGAATGAGCATCCCCTGCCGACCGGTCACACCAGCCGTGTGCTCCTTGTCATGATCGGGAAATACGGAAAAATCCGTCGTCAATTAGTGTATAAATAATGGACTAACAATCAATG